TTTTTTTTTTTTTCCTTCTTCTTCCTAGACTGCTAATTCTTCTGTGTGGGCAAACACCCTTCTCTTTTGATTCCTAGTCACAGTGCCTAGATTAAATACTGGTTTTAATGAGAGCCGTGGCTGTGGCCGCATTAGGTGATGATAGTTATGAAGACGATCTGACCTGTTTTGATGAAGACGATCTGACCTGTAGGGAGAGAGGGAAAGGTCAGCCACATGCAGTGGCCAGATTTCTGCTTGTTCCCGGCACATGCTGCTACAATATTGATCCGCGGAGAAAGATAAACATAAAAGATAGATCGTATGTGCTGAATGCTAATGAACGTGGCTTCCAGATTTTAATTGTTGTTGACTTCTTATTTCCACCGTAAACATTTGCTGAGCTCCGTAGAGCATTTTTCCCAGGTTTATTTTGTTTTATTTTGTTTTATATTTTTTTGTCTTATTTTATCCTGCTTTGGTTAATTTTTTTTTTTCCCAAATCTCTGAATGCGTCTCTCGGCGGAAATCTTTCCAGCAAGTTACTTTCCCTATCAGCCAAAGTGCATCCACCCGAAAGTCACGACCAGCATCTCTTTTCCAGCGAAGGCAACCGCTGCTGGAAACGGAGAAAATTCCTCTGAAAGGCAACATCTCGACTTGGGATGTTCCTTTCGGATTCCTGCTTCATTACTTGCTCCATTCCTTTGCAGCAAAAGGCTGCAGATAACGTTGGAGTTGGGGGTTAATTTTTGTTCCCCTCCTCTCCCTAACTGGACTTCTGCAAATCCAGCAGTTACGCTGGAAGAGAGCTCTCCTTTCAAAGGCTCCACAGCTTCCCAACTGTTTCTAGACTAATACACCTACGGGAGGCAAAGAGATGGAAACATGCGTTCCTCGGGGAGAGAGGCATGTCAGAGGCTCTTTCTCCTCGGTTGTGCTGACGGAGGAAGCTCTTTTCCGGGGGCTTTCTCTGCCGTACAAAATGGTTAAGGATCATTCGCTGCTCGGACTGCATCTTGAATTTTTTTTTTATCTCTTCGAGATGGTCAAAATTAGCTGTAAACCTGCTAAAGCACTCAATGAAACAGCTATCCCCAAACACGCGCTTCAAGTTTCTGCTGCCTCGCGAACGACCGAGAGCAAGCACCATCGGCTGTATAGTGGCAATTAACTATATCAGCCTCACATTTAAGAAAATGAGTGATATATTAAACTCCTAATTCCCATCATTACAAATAATTTTCATGAAGGGAACTTCTAAAAGATTTTTTTTCCTCCCTCACACTTTCCAGTCTATTTTTTAACCCCTGAGTGATTTACTACGTAAGTAATTTTAGAGGATACAGTTTACAGCTTGAGTTATTAGACTGAACACCTCTGGCTGACACCACAACACCTTTTTTTTCTGCCTGCAGCTGTGAGTCACAACCCCATTTTCATACCAAACTGCTGCACATTCCTTTACAATATAGGCTTCCTTCTTGCAAAGATCAAACACTCTGCAGCCAACGTGTTTATTTTAAAATACAGGAAAATTAAAACTAAACATGGACTTAAAAGAAAAAAAACAAATGCATCATTTCTTTTCCTGCTGTCTCTCCTACTAAAATAAATTAAAATAAAATTAGGAGGCGATGGCGTAGACTACTCCAATAAAATAACACAGTGACAGAGCCAAAACAGTTGTTTTCGACAGGAACAGGAACGGACCCTTCTGCTTGCTGTTATTTATTTATGCATTATTGTGGCTATGGTTTTAATTATATATGGGAATATTAGGCCAAGATGCTGTAACCGTAGCCTTCCTTTAACACACTTTTCTTATTTGTTTAGTGCCAGCGCTACAAGGCAAGAACAGGCACCATAAGGAAAATGGTTTCAATATTCTGTTTAAGAGCTTACAACAGGGAATCCCGGAATTACAGGAAAACCTGCAGGCCTGCTCCGTGGAGGTGCCCGGCAGGACCAGGCAGATTTTGTGCTCCTCGGCAGGTTTCGGGGTGCACGGAGGGGGAGGAATTGCGGGAGGCAGAGGTGCCCGGAGTATTTTTTACCTCGCAAAGCGGCGTTAAGAAAGCGTCCTTGCTGTTCAGCAGCACAGACGCTAGGATGCTTCTTAATTTTGAGCAGGGTAAAGGTAGACTTAATCTCTGCTCCTCCCGGTAACCTACTGCCCACTCCTCCCTCGACGCTTGAGAGGGGGGTTTTGCTGCAAGTCCTTTTTCTTCCATCCCTTATTTAGGGATTTTTTTGTTCGTTTTTTTTTTTGGGGGGGGGGGTCTTTTTTTTTTTTTTTTTTTTTTTTTTTTTTTTTTTTTTTTTTTTTTTTTTTTTTTGGTGAAGGAGCGTACACGGTGGAATTCGCATTTCCCATAATTTCCTCTTGCTCCTTCTCGAGTCTTTGTCCACGTCATCGGAGTGATGTTTGAAGCGGGGGGAGCGGGACATACCTGCCCATATTTATTTATCTTTGGTACTCATATCGAAAAAAAAAATTATTTTAAAGAAGAAAGAAAAAAAAAGTAAGTAAAAAGTAAAGCGAATGATCATTTGCTTTAGGAAACAGATAAAATAACTTCTCTCATCTCTCCAAATGATCCCCGGTCCAAGTGGCTCCAAAGAGTTGAGCGAAGCAAGCCACGAGCTCGCACCGCGCTCCGGGCGGTCTTTGCGCAGCGAGGGGAAGCAGGACCAGCCCTTGCTAAGCGGCGCCACKGCACGACCCCCGCGATCTCAGGCTCTCTCCGCGGGCCGGGGGCTCTCTGGCCGCTCGCAGTCCGGCCCGACGTGCGCCCAACGGCRAAGAGGAGCGGCAAGGGCTTTCCTCGCCGAAAAGCCCTTCGGTGCCGCAGGTATCGCTGCTGCCGTACCTGGGGCCATTCGCACTGTCCGCACCTGGCCAGCGCTCTCCGACCCGCGCTCCCGTCGCCGTGGCCGCTTTTCTGTCGCCACCTGCGCKCTCGCTGCGCGCACAGC